CTTTTTCTCCCTTTCTCTTCTCCTTCCCCTTTTTTCCTTCTTTGTTTTGAATTTTTTATTTTTTCATCTTTTTTCCTTCTTTCATTATTTCATTTCCTTTTTTTCTTCTTTTCTTTCTTTATTTTCACCATTATTTTCGTTTTTCATTTATTTGTTTTCTTTCTTTATTTCATTCAATTTTTCCTTTCTTGTTTTCATTCTTTCAATGATTGAAATTTCTTTTTTTTTATTTTTTAAATCAAAATTCTTTTATTTCTCCTGCCTATTCGAAACAATTGAAATAATTACAATTTTATTGACTTGAATAAAAATTATTTGACACAAATATTTAAATATTTAATAAATAATAAAAAAAATAATAAATAATATACACAACGATTATTAGCATAATTTCTTTTTCTTTTTTTGAATAAAATTACATAGAAGAATTGGTGTTAATTTATTTACGATGTAAACGAATAAAAAATTGAATTGAGTACAAAAGGATTTAAAAACACCTGCGTAAAAAATTAAAATGTTAAAAGGATTTTGAAACTGTATTAACTTTTTTTACACGTTCAACATTATATAATAGAACCTTCACTTTACACGCATGTCGACTTTGAAGTTCTTTATTAATACAGAGAGTACAATATGTGAACCGAAAAAAAATTTTCCTTTTCCCTCGTCATATACAATTCTCTCTCAATTGTGAGCTGCCTATATTAATTTCATATTTCAAACTCAAATAAAAAAAAAAAAAAATTATAAACATCAATAAAATGAGAGAAAAAAAATCAAACTTCACTTTTGATCAAATAGAAAAAAAAATATTTTTCACTACAAATATATATATTAAAAAAAATATATTTCTCTTTTAACTTATTTAACTTGGATGCTTCTGACGTTTCCCAATATCAAAAGGGGAAAATATATCTACTATTATATAGGAAGTGAAAAGAGAATAAGAAGCTAAGTGGATCAGAATTTTTTTTTACAAGGGTGACATATTGAGACAAAACGTAGATCAATCCTAATCCTCTTTCAAATTTATTTAAGGGAAAGAGAGAGAGTGAAAGAATTACATTTTCAATCGAAAGAAATATATCAGCCAAAATTGGAATCGAAATTTCTGTTTTTTCTTACTTTCCTGGTCACTTTCACTTTTATTATTTTTGTCCTTTCAGTTCTATTTTTATCTTCTTTGTATTATTCTATTAAGTATTTAATTCAATTATTTATTTATTCTTCTTCTATTTTTCTCAATATTTTCTTTTCTCTCTTGGCTAGTCTACAGAATATTTATTTTTATTAAGAAAATAAATAATTAAAAAATAAATAAAAAATTAAAATAATTAAAAAAAAAAAATTTCTTTAAATTTAAAAAAAATAAAAAAATAATAAAAAAATAATTAAAAAATAATTAAAAAATAATAATAAATAATAATAATTAATAATACGGTGACGAAGTTGATAATAATCTATTTAATTACAAATATTAAGTATAGTGTAAGTTTAGATTTTGTCGTCAGAAACCAGAAATAATGGAACAAAAAGCTTTAAAGTCCAAGTAGAGAGAAAAATTCTAAGTGATACAAGTTTATATTCAGTCAGAAGCCATGGAGCGGAAATGTTTTTATTTTCAAGTTGCGTCACGATTTAAGTAGTACAAGTATTTTAATATAGTCAGACGCTATAAACAATGCTTTGGAAAAAGTGACTTTTTTTTACCCAAGAATTGTAAATTTTAAGTAGTAGAAGTTTAAACATAGTCAGACGCGCAATAAAACTGTGAATTTGAGGAAACTTTTTGAAATTTTTAAATTAGTGTATAATTCAAGTAGTTCGAGTTTTATTTTAGTCAGACGCAATAAATTACGAATAAAGTTAATATTTTTTAAGTTAGTGTAAAATTCAAGTAGTTCAAGTTTTAATATAGTCAGACATTATAATAAATTACGAATAAAGTTTATATTTTTAAAGTGTGTGCAAAATTCAAGTAGTTCAAGTTTTAATATAGTCAGACGCCATAATAAATTACAATTTAGTGTAAACTTTTTTCAAGTAGTGTAAAATTTAAGTAGTAAAAAGTTTCTATTTAGTCAGACGTCCCACGAGAAAATAGTAATAATTCTTGTTTTAAGTTCTGTTGAGATTTAAGTAGTACGAGTTTACGTTGAGTCAGGCAATATAGGGATTTTTTATAAATACCACAAAATTTTAAGTAGTACGAGTTTACGTTCAGTCAGACAATATAGGAAATTTGTTATAAATATATAAATACCATGTAAATTTTTAAGTAGTACGAGTTTACGTTAAGTCAGACGCCGTAAAAGTAATTTTTTTTTATAAATATCACTAGAAAAAAAAATTCAAGTAGTACGAGTTTACTTCCAGTCAGACATCGAACATAAAATAGTAATGGTTTTATTTTCAAGTGACTTGAAAGAAATTAAGTAGTACAAGTTTTTACATAGTCAGACACGGTGAAAACTAAAAAAAAACAATCAATATTTTAATTCAAACTTGAAGGCGGAAAATTTTCAAGTGTAGTACAAGTTTATATTCAGTCCGACTTCGAAGAATAAATAAGGTGTTTTTTCATTAGCGTTAACATTCAAGTAGTATAACACTCTACATAGTCAGACAACGTAGCTTATGTCTCAGAGAAGAAAATTGTTTCAAATTAGGATAAACTTTAAGTAGTATAAGTTTACATTTAGTCAGACAGGATGAAATAGTCAATAAGGAATTAGTTTCAAGTAGAATAAGTTTTCAAGTAGTACGACTTTATATTCAGTCAGACGTAATATGAACAGTGCAATTAAATACAATTATTAAAAGAAATTAAAAAATACATTTTTATGTGATGAGAATATGTAAAAATTAAATTAAACACAGTTTTCTTGAAAGCATCAAATTGATATCAATGTGAATCAAATTGATATCAAAAATTTTAATTAATTTTAAATTTGATCCTTAATTTGATCATTAACAGTGAATTTATTAATTATTAATTAATAAAATTCTTCTCTGATAATCAATTATTAATTTACAAAATTTTAATCAAATTCTTGTCAAAATTTCAATTATTTTCAAAAGTTTTCTAAAATTCAATGATTTTCAATATTTACTATTTCAATAAAATTTTTCAAAAGAATTCCATTATTAAAAAAAATTTGAATAAAATTCTACGCAAACATTTAATTCTTTTCATAAATAATAAATTTTTTTAAAGGAATTCAATTATTTACAATTTTTTTTTTTATAAATTTCTTCGCAATAATTCAATTATTTTCATAAATAATAACATTTTTGCAGGAATTCAATTATTTTCGTAAATAATAAAATTCTTTTTAGGAATTCAATTATTTTCATAAATAATAAAACTTATTGCAGAATTTCAATCATTTTTAATGCAATTTCAATCGAATTCGTCGAAAAATGTAATTATTCTTAAAAATTTTATTAAAATTCGTCCAAAGAATATAATGATTTAAAAAATTCGTTGATAACATTTTTTATGAGAATTTAATTTCAAGAAACATGAAATTAATAAATTATTTATTTACATTTTATTTTTATTTAAATAATTGAATTCTCGTAGAATTTACTAATAAAAATAATTTTAAAAATGAATTTCAGTTAAAATTTTAGATTATAATTAAATATTAAAAGCATTATAACGTGGATTTTTAGAAATAATTAAATTTTGAAAAAGTTTCAAACTAAAATCATTGAAATTCTTAATTTTTCATATTTTTGACAAACAATTCTGTAGAATTAATTCTTTTTAAAAGTTTAATAGGATTTTTATTGAAATTATTTCAAGTTTTTATTTTTCAATATAAAATTGTAGAATTTCTGAATAATGGAAATTTTGTAAAATTGAATTGTAAACGAATGAATTTGAAAATTCTCAAAGAACTTTTTTAAAAATTATTAAAAATAATGGATTTATTAAAGAATTTTAGTTAAAAAGACTAGAAAAAAATTTAATTTTACAAAAGTTAGAAATTATTGGAGAAATTCAATTATTTTCAAGAGTAATAAAATTCTTAAGGATTCAATTATTTTTACTAATAATAAAACTCATCGCAGCGTTTCAATTATTTTTTATACAATTATATAAGAATTTCTTGAAAATGTAATTATGTTCATACAAGTTTTAATAAAATTCGACAAAAGAATTCAATTTTTTAAAAATTTGTTAATAAAATTCTTTATGAGAATTGAATTTTGAGAAACATTCAATTATTCAATAAATTATTTACTTTTGCATTTAAATAATTAAATTCTTGTAGAATTTTCTAATAAAAATTGATTTTCATTTCATAAAAATGAATTACAGTTAAAATTTTAGATTCTAGAATATTAAAAGCAATATAACGTGAATTTTTAGAAATAATTGAATTTTGAAATTAATTTTTTTTGAAAAAGTTTAATTGAATTTTCTTTTGTATTATTTGAAATTTTTATTTTCTAATAATAATAAAGAATTTAGGAATAATTGAAATTTCGTTAAATTGAATATTGTAAACAAATGGATTTGAAAATTGCCAAAGAACTTTTTCGAAAATTATTAAAAATAATAGATATAAAGTAAAATAGTTAAAAATTTTTGAAAATAATAATTGAATTGAAATAATGAAAAGAATTTTGAAGAAGTATTCTTATAATATAAAATAATGATTTTATTACTTGGTCATCTTTAAATATTATAAAATATGAAGAAATCGATGACTCCGAGTCTTCGACTCGGAGTCATCGATTTCTTCATGTTTTATAGTTATAAAAAAATTTAATGAACTAAAATTTTATTCATTTCATTTATTGTAAAAAATAATACCAAAATTAATTATTTTAATCTTTTTTTATATTAATTTAATCTGCAACACTTTTTAATAGTTAATACCTCACGATTTACTCTGTTATTATTAAATTACTGTAAATTTAAAATTTTAAATACAATTGTTTTTATTAATTTTGCCTAACAGTCCTGAATTTTTTTTCTGTTTCAGCATCGACTGTAAAAAAATGAGGTCAACAATCAACAAATGATATTCATACACTTCTACTATCAATTAAAAAAAATACAATAGACAAAATCCAATCGTAATTTGACGAGAACAAAATTAGAACAAAAATTTTTTTTTACATATATGGGAGAGAAAAAAATTGAAGTAAAAATAAAAAATCCACGTGACATAAAGTGGTTGTGAAAATAATTATTGAAAAAATGTGGATTTTTACGGATTTATTAAAAATAAAAGTGTCTAAGGGTAAAGAAAAATTTGCCATTTTTGGCGCTAACGATGACGTTTTGGATAATAGCGATGTTGACTCTCGTGATGAATACATTGTCAACAACGAATTTCAAGGAAAATTGGCATGTACGTCATTTATCCCGCAGATGAACTTCTTCGAATTTATGACAATCCAATTCGTCAAAATTTATTGAATTCAACAACAGGAGAAACAGTAACAGCAACATTAGCAACAGTAGCAACAACAGAAACGACAACAAAAACAGTAACAACAACAACAACAACAACAACAACGTCAACAACAACAGCGTTAACAACAAAAGTCACCAATTTATTCACGCGTAATCGTTCGTCGAAAATAAATGTGAATGAAAACGACGAGAATAATAAAAATAAGGCAACAACTGCTGCCAATAATAATAATAATAATTACAGGAACGTTAATATAAATAATAAAAATAATATTAATTGTAATAATTACAATAGTAATAATTATAATATAAATAGTAACATTAATAATAATTGCACGTATAGTGTTGAAAACGAGAGAAATAAATTAACGAGAAAATTAAAAAAACAAGAGAGTAAACGGACTCGTGTTCGCGATAGAAATTCGAAACAAGCTATTATGCAAAATAGTCGAAATCTCATGGAGGAGGGTAACAATCCCCTCAAAGATCTCACACACGCCAGCAGCAATGAACCACTCAAGCAGCACAATGGAAATGCTGTCAAACTCGTCCAAATTGGTAAATAGCAAAATATTTTTATCTACAAAACTGTCGATTTATTTTTCTTCTTTCTCTATTTTTGCCATTTTTGGAAATATTTCTTCAAGATAGGAGATTACTTTTTTCCAAGTTTCTTTCGAATTTAAAACAAAAACATTTAGAAAAATTCTTTCTAGTATTATTTTTTGTATTTCAGAGACCACAAATATAGATCATATTGTGAGATATAAAAAATTTATTGAATTTTTCAAAAGAACTTAATTGTTTTCTATATAATTTTAATAAATTCTTTAAAACAATTCAATTATTTTCAAAAAAAAAAAAAAAGAATTAAAATTCTTTGCAAAAAATAAATTATTTTTCATACAATTTCAATAAAATTTTTCATGAAAGAATTGAATTTTTAAAAATTTTTAATATTTTTCCAAAAATAATTCAATTATTATCTAAAATTTTAATAAATTCTTCAAAGCAATTCAATTATTTTTATAAACATTAAAATTCAATCCAAAAAATTCAATTATTTTCTAAAACTTTAATAAATCCTTCAAATCAATTCAATTATTTTTTATAAACATTAAAATTCTTTCAAAAAATCATATATTTTTAAATTTTAATACAATTTTAATAAAATTTTTTATGAAAGAATTCAATTTTAAAAAATTTTTAATAATATTTTTCCAAAAAAAAATTCAATTATTTTCTAAAATTTTAATAAGTTCTTTAAAACAATTCAATTATTTTTATAAAAATTAAAATTTCTTGTAAAAAATCAATTATTTTTAACCTATATTTTTAATGCAAATTTTTTTATGAAAGAATTCAATTTTTAAAAAAAGTCTAATAATATTTTTCCAAAAAAAAATTCAATTATTTTCTAAAATTTTCATAAATCCTTCAAAAAAATTCAATTATTTTTATAAACATTAAAATTCTTTCCAAAAAATTCTAATTATTTTCTAAAATTTTAATATTGTCTTTAAAAACAATTCAATTATTTTTATAAACATTAAAATTCTTTGCGGAAAATCAATTATTTTTAATACAATTTTAATAAAATTTTTCATGAAAAAATTCAATTTTTAAAAATTGTTAACAATATTTTTCCAAAAAAATTCAATTATTTAAAAAAAAAAAAATTCAATTTTAATAAATCCTTCGAAAAAATCCTATTATTTTTATAATTATAGTAAAATTCATCGCAAGAATTAAATTATTTTTATAAATAATAAAATTCTTCTCAGGATTTGAATAATTTTCAATAATTTTACTATAATTAATGACAGACACGATTATTTTAAAAAATTTATAAAAAAATTCGTATATTTGATAAGAATTCAATTGTTTTCAAAATTTCCAATTAAAATTAAAAAAAAAACTTAAAGAACTTCTTCAAAAGCATATAATTTTTTGAATAAACTCTAATAAATTTTTAATGGTAAAATTATTAATTACAATTATTAACAAAATTTATTACATTCAATAAATTAAAGAAATTTTTTAAAAGAATTCAATTATAGTGTCAAAATCTTTAATTGTATATTATATTCTTCGAAAGAATTTATTATTTTCTACATTCTAATGAAATTCATCGAATGAATGAATTTCAATTGTTTTAGAAAATTGTAATAAAATTCTCAGAAGAATTTAATTATTTTCTAAAAATTTTAATAAAAATTCAATAATTAAATGTTTAGTTTCAATTATCAAGAAAGACGATTATTTTAAAAACTTGAAAGAAATTGTTTATAAAATTCAATTACTTTCCGAATTTTCAATTAAAATTATTAAAGAAATTCCATTAAAAAAAAAGATTTCCATTTAAAAAAAAATTCAAAGTAATTCTTCACAACAATTTAATTAGGATTTTCAAAAATTTTAATTTAAAATTCTTCGCAAAAATGCAATTATTTTCATAAATTATAAAATTCTTCAAAAGAAATTAAATTATTTAAAATTTTTTTTTAAATTCTTTACAAGAATTCAATGATTTTTAATACATTAGTTTTAAAATTGAATAAATTTAAAAAGAAAAATTATTTAAAAAACAGTTCAGAAACAAAAAAGCAGACAACAACTAACTTTAAACTGTGGAAGAAGTTAAATTAATTTAAAAATATAGTTTTTTATTTCTATATACCCTCAATTATATTTATTTTTGTCTAATTTATTATTAATTAATAAATTAGATTATTATTATTATTACTATTAACTATTATTAATATTACTATTTTAAATTAATTTAAAAATATAGTTTTTTATTTCTATACTCTCAATTAAATTTATTTTTGTCTAATTTATTATTAATTAATAAATTAGATTATTATTATTATTACTATTAACTATTATTAATATTACTATTTTAAATTAATTTAAAAATATAGTTTTTTATTTCTATACTCTCAATTATATTTATTTTTGTCTAATTTATTATTAATTAATAAATTAGATTATTATTATTATTATTATTACTATTATATATTAATTAAAATTATTAATATAATTATAGTAAGGAATGAAAATTATAATAATCTATAGTCTGTAGATTATAGTATAGATTTATAATTAAATAAAAATTTTATTATAAAATGTATTCTGATTTAAATAATAATCTAGACCATAGTGTTAATTATAATGTATATTAATCTAGATCATTTATTAAATCATAAATTCCAGGCGAATGTTTTTTTCTTAATTACAAAATTCTTGAAGTGTAAAGTGTTTTTCTAAGACTTTTAAAATACACATTCACAATTTTTCTAGCCAAAAAAACGTATCAAAATTCAAAATAGTTGCGAAGCAACATTTTGATACATTTTTTGGTCTCAATTTGATATTTTTAGAAAAATTGTGTTTTATATTTGTGTATATTTTATTTTCTTATTAATTGAAACCAGATTCGGAGTTTAATTTAATTAATAATAATGGTAACACGCTGTAAATAATTTTAATCTAATTTTAAAAATTATTTCGTAACGGAAAGAAAAATAAAAATAATGAGATTCGGAGTTTAATTTAATTAATATTATGGTCACATGCTGTAAATAATTTTAATCTAATTTTAAAAATTATTTTGTAACGAAAAAAAAATTAAAAATAATGATGATAATGGAGATAAAATTGATTATCGTATAAAAAATAAAAAATGGTGAAGAATAAAATTTTTCACAACAGACATTTGGAAGAGTCATTTGTTCATCAAATTGTAGAATATATTAAAGGAAAAAAATTCTGCATTTTTGTTTCTTTAATCTAGTTTCGTAATAAATAATATTAAATATGACATTGTCCAATGTATCGACATTGATTGTCAGTCGAAAAAGACAGAGAGATAGAGAACACAGAGTGAATGAGATTTAATCGAAAATTTACTCTGCTGAACCCAGTAATTGATAGAGCGAAAATGAAAATTAGAATAAAAAAATACTTTCCTCTTCAGATATCAAAGTATTAATTAAACTAAAATTAATATCAATCAGAGAAGAGACACTACAATATGATTATAAATTTGCCACTGTAATGAATATAGAAAAAAAAAATGTGTGTAAAAATAAAATTGTAATTAAATCAGTTTAGAAAAATATTTAAAAATTATTCTCCGATATTTAATTAATAATTAATATTTTCAAAAATTATTTTTATTATTATCAATTGTTGCACAAAAAAATAGTAAGTTCGTTGTAAATTTGTTTGAAGAAATAAAAAAAAATAGTCATAACTTCCAAAGGTAGTAAAACTATTCAAACTATTTTTATAATCACAATTCGTTTCTCTAGAAAAAAAAATTTTTTATATATTCAAATTTATGTAAATTTTGAATCGAATATTCTGTTTCTTTTTTTCTGTAGTGGTTTTCCACTATAGTGTCACTTTAGTATATAACAATGAACATGAATTTTTATTTTATTGAATTAAATTATTATCTGAAAATTAAATATATATCTGATATATATGTGTAGTCAGTTATATAATATACATTCTCCTCGTCCTCATTATACATTAAAGCAGCTACCAACTTGGATTCAAAAAGTGCGATAATAAATTTTTCTCGGACATAAGTTTTTCACTTCTCGTGACTATGTGCTTGGATAAGAATCATGCAAAGGTGGATAGGCAGCTTGCGACCTTAATAACTTTATTTTCACAGTTGAATAGTTACTGTGTCGCTAAAGCTCAAGCATCTGAGGAATTCTTTCTTATCCTCCTCTGTTTACGACGAAAAGAAAATAATTATTTCAGAAATTCTCACGTAAACATGTTGTATTTTTTTTAACGATTAAGTTACGCATATATATAGACATACCTTTCGAAAATTGACGCCGTTGCCTCCGTTTCTCGCTAAAGGCTGCATGCGTCTGAAAAAAAATTTTTAACTTATAAAAAAAAATATATTTATTCATTTATTTTGAATTTCGATAATTATTTTTAAAAAAAGTAGCAAAAAGTATTTTCCAAACTAAAAAAAGTAGTAAAAAAGTATCTTCCAAACTAAAAAAAGTAGTAAAAAAGTATCTTCCAAACTAAAAAAAAGTAGTAAAAAAGTTACTATCGAAAAATTAAACTTGACGACCAAAAATAGTTTTAGACACTTTACAAAACTGACAAAATTTCCATTCTATATTTTATTTTCTTGACTTTTTCCTAATTTTCATCAAAAATATTTACTTCTTTAATAAAATTAAATATTTACTTCTTCTAATAAATTGAATTCCTGCGCAAAGAATTTTATTATTTATGAAGGAATTGAAATATTTATAAAAGTAATTTAATTCTTGCGAAAAATATTATTAAAAAATTGTTAAATAATTGATTTAATTATTGTCCATTTTGACTAATTTTATTCAATTTTATTCTAATTTAAATAATTGAATTCCGGAGAAATTTTTATTACTCATGAAAAGAATTGAATTTTTACGAAGATTTTTACAAAACTTTTTTTAAATAATTGAATTCTTTTGGGAAATTTTATGAAAATAGTAGATATTGAAAATCATTGAATTGCGAAAAGTTTTTAAAGA